AAAAAGTTGAGAAGGAAAGCCTAGGGAATATGATGTTGATAAAAACAATAAAAGGCTTATATTCCTTATGAATCTACAAGACCATGTGCTTGCCAATGGCTGTGTATATACTCAAGAATGACTTGGCCATGTGCGGGCATGGTGGCACATACTGTAATCCCAGAACTCGAGAGGCTGATCCAGGAGGATTGTTGCAAGTTCAAGACCAGCCTGGGCTACAAAGTGTGCTAAAGGTCAGCCTGAACTGCATAGTGAGACTCTGTTTCAAAGAAAAAATGACAGGTTAAAATGTCAGCTGCAGGAGACCTCAAGGTTCTGTGCTAGCAGGAAGTACCAGGTTAGTATGCAACTATCGACTGCTGGGCTAAATATTAATGGCATACCCCAACAAACACAGAATCTCTAAGTGACCAAAAGCCTCTCTTGTTAATAATAATCAGCTGGCCACTTAATGAACAAAGTCAAACTGGCTAAGCAAGACAATGAGTAGAGATTATCTAGAAATAATTTAGGGGGGGATCATAAAATTATCTAGAAATAATTATTAGAAATAATTATCTAGAAATAATTTAGGGGGGGATCATAAAACAAATGCAACAACAAAATAAATCTTAAGGATAGAAATCTGATTCCCAAGAGTCACATTATCATAGTTAAAATATCTAGTTTTCAAAAAAATTAAGGCATGAAAAATAAGAAATAAGGCCCATAAAAAGGCCTTAATCAATAAAAAGGGTCCCAGAGGAAGCACAGATGTTAGAAGTGCTGAAAAAAAAAAATTTATGTCAACTATTTACCAAATGTTCAAGAAATAAAGAATCTTAAATCTGAATAAAGACAATATCTCATAAGAGTCAATTTATAAAAAGGAAACAAACAAATATACTGAAGTTGAAAAGTAAAACTGAATTTTTAAAAAAAAAATCATTAAAGGACAGTAATAGCACATTTGAGCAGGAAGAAAAAGGATCAAGAACTTGCAGATGCCCTATCCTAAGGATAAACTGAGATTTCCTATCCTAAGGAATACCAACAATAAAGAAATTTATTTTACAAAATATTCATCTATGCTCCCCTGAAACAGTGAACTCCAATCCGGATAAGCAAAGATACAGTTTAGACAGATGAAATCAGATGAAAAGTCTGGCATGAGGATATAACTGCTTGAGCTAAAGCCAACTTAATACAGTTGGAAAGACCATTATATAAGCCTGTAATTATGTTGTACAATATATTGAGGAGGAGACAGCATAGAAAGATGTAGTTTAGAAATTTAATGGTAAGAGAGATTGAGAGAAAAAATTTGTGCATTATTAAAATTTGTGCATTATTAAAATCCATGATTTTCTAGTTGATGCAAACCAGATTTTTCAAAATTAAAATGCTAATTTCAATTCCCTAGGCAACAATTATGAAAAAAAGCAGAAATTCATGAGAATTAAAACAATACACTAGGAAGTATGCATTTATATATCAAAGAAGGCAATGACAAAGAAAAAAAGGAATAAAAACATATATAATACATACCAAAGATGAAAACCAAAATGTGAATTCCTTCATAATAGTACTTACATTAAAATACAGAAAATAGCAAAACAGAATACAAGAAAAAAATGATCATATCAAGAAACACAGAAAAGCAAAGATAAAAAGAAAAAACATTTCCACATTTGAAAAGCACTAAACAAATTAGGATAGAAAGACAATTTTGTTAACCAGATAAAATGGATCTAAAGAAAAAAAATCCGTAATAACAATGAAAGACTGAAAATTTCCCCCTAAATTATGAAATAAGGACTTCTGCTCTTATTATTTGAACTAAACTTATATTGAAAATTCTGACACAGTCAATAAGCAAAAGTAATACAAAGTATCCTAGTCTCCATTTGCAGATGGGTATCATTTTACACGGAAAAACATTAAAGAATCCAAAATTAGAGCTTATAATTAAGTTGAACAAACTTCCAGAAAACAAGGTTAATAAGCAAAAATCATGCATATTTCTCTATACTACCAAAGAAAAATGTGAAAATGAAATAGAAAATTGAATTTATACTATCAAAAAAAGAATGAAACACAAAATAATTTGACTCAGAAGTATAAAATTTGACACTGAATACTACAAAACAGCATTGAAAGAAATTTTGAAGGACCTAAATAAATGAAAAGATATCCTTATCATGAACTGGGAAGAATAATAACTGTGCTTTAATTCATTCTGCTATTAACAGTATAGGACAGGATAGGCTGAATCTTCTGTCATAAACATCAAGCAAACATGTATCACTGTTCTGCAGGACAGAATATGCAAAAAATTAAGGCAACAGCAGACTGAATGTCTGGTGAGGCCCCAATTCCTGGTTCACACACTTACATGACCATGAAACCAATGACAGCTGCTGCCATGTCTGCGTGTGGCAGGGTAGTCAAGGAAATCTCTGTACTGATTTTTTTAGAAAAGCACTAATTCCACACACGAAGTCTCAGCCGTCATCTCATGATCCAACCTCTCAATATCACCATATGAGGTCAGAATTTCAATGCATGGATTCTGAGAGGACATAAACACTGTCTACAGACAGTGACAGCAATTCCCATATTAGTTTACAGATCCCATGCAAATCTATGCAAATTCCAGCTGTCTTTATTAGCCGAAACAGACAAGTCAAAAACAGAATTGATATGTAAGTCAAAGGACCCCAGACAGTCAAAAGAATCTTGTGAAAGGAAAACAAAAAGAATTCATATTTCTTGGTTTCAATCTTACTACAAAACTATAGTAACCAAGACGGTGTTGCATTGGCATAAAAACAATTATACAGATCAGTGGATATAGAATTAAGAGTCTAGAAATAAATCAACACCATGGTCAAATTATTTTGAACAAGGGTAACAAGATTATTTGACAAAGAATTGACTTTTCAATAAACAGTACATGGAGAATTGGGCAGCTACATGATAATCTTTCAAAACAATGAAATTGAGCCCTGACCTCATACTATTAGTACAAAAACTAATTTGAAAAGGACCAATGACATAAATAGAAAACAAACTACCAAGTTCCTAGAAGCAAACAATGTCAATCTCATGACTCAGAATAAGTCATAGATACTTAGATACAACAGTAAAAACACAAGCAACAAAAGACAATTAATACGTTAGATTCATCAATATTTAAAATTTCTCTGTAAAAAGTCACTATCAAAAAAATGAAAGGAAAACACAAATAAGAGGACAAAATGCTTTCAAATCATATGTATGATAAGGATCCAGGAATAAGGGTGTAATATTCAGAATATATTTAAAAACTCACCAATAAAAACAGAAATAACCAAACTGAAAATGGAAGAACTGAACACACTTCTCCAAAAACCAGTACATGGAAATCTGCTCAAAATCGCTTATTTCTAGGACAGCACATATCAAAACCACCTGAGCTACCACTTCACACACAATAGGATGGCTATAATTTTCAAATGAGAGAAAGAATAGTAACACACTACTGATTAATAGTATATTGATTATATTAATATTCTATATATTATATAATATAATAATTACAATATATTGATATTCCATCATCAATTAATTACTATTAGTGAGAGAAAAATAGTAATATACTGTTTAATATATAGAAACTGAAGTTGCCATATCTTGCTACTCGGAATATATGGAAGCAATTTGGCCTTTTCTCAGAAAGTTAAACAGAGTTAACAAATATCCCATCAACTAATGAGTGGATAATCAAATGTGATACAGTCATAAAATGGAATATTGTGTCCTAAAAAAGGAATAAAATACATGCCACCGGCATGAAACTTGAAAACACTATCCAAGTCAAAGAAGTAAATGACTACATATTACATTTGGTTGATAAATGTCCAGAATGGTGAAATCTATAGAGCCAGAAAATACGTTAGTGGTTGTTAGGGCATTTGTGGTTGTTAGAAAAGAGAGAAAGTGTTATGTAGTTTCTTTTGGTGGGTAATAGAAATGTTACGGAATTAGTGGTGATGTTAGCACAACATTATGAATACATTCAGTACCATTTGCATTAGTCAGATTTTCCATTCCAGGGACAATATATTTGGTGGAGAGATTTATCTTTGCTCATGAGTTCAGAGAATCCAGTCCATGACTGACTACAAGTGCACTGCAGAGGACAGCTGCTCTCAATTCACAGCAGCCAGAGAGCAGAGCTAGAAAGGGAGGAGCCAAGGACAAGAACGCGCTCTTGTAGGTCACACCCTCCAGAGCCTGCTTCTTCCAACCAGACACCCTGACAGCATGGTCAGCTATGAACTGAATTAGTGAATGGACTATCTACTGATGAGTGTACTCCACGATCAATCACTTTCCAAAACCTCTGAATGCATGAGAATTTTGGGGTACATTTTACATTTAAATCAAAATGCCATCTGATTGTGTAGTTCAGTGATTCAATGTCATATGAATCTTATCAATAAAATTACCAAAAGAAGGCAACTTTTGAATGATTTCTCTCAAACCATATTATACATACTGATTCTTATTTCCATATTTTCTTGACAGTGCCCCAAGTGTATCAGTAATTTAGCATGTTTTTAAACCTTTCTTATGATTCTTCCAATACTATGGTATCTATCTTCTAACTAGCAGAGGTCTATACCTCCTATTTATGTTATGCATTTTAAACTGTAGATTTTTAAATACATGTTTTATAAGCATCCTTAGCATTCCCCTTTTTAAACAGCATTTCTTAGAATTCCACAACTTGTAGTCAACATAGGCACAGCTATAAATGTACTGACACACAAGAAATGCAGTGAGAAAGGTTTGTCCAGCACCAACTACCTGCGCTTTCACAGATTTCTTCAGGAATAATAATTCATCTATCCAAATTATACCATTTGGTAATTTAAGTCATTTGCCCGATATTTACTTTAAATTGTTTTTTTAAGGTTTTAATATTTTCACATTCATTGTAAATAATTACTGCTCTTCCACCATCAAGAACTTACCCTAAGCATGGGACCATTTTGAAACACGTGTGGCTCATCACAAACCACACAGTACTCATTCAATACAGGAATCCGCTGTTCAGCAAACTCAATTGTCTGAATAAAATGACACAGACAAATAAATCAGTCAAGTTTATAATTGAGCTGAAAACCCAATATGGACTGAACTATTTCTACAACAGTCTCCACTCTTACCTGCACGAGGAAGCCACGGTCTCGTATTGGAATGCATTTTGCACCATTAGGCTATAAAAGGTAAAGTAAAAGAATAAGATAATTTTAATTGTGAAAAATGTATGATAAAATAACAGTGATTGTTCTAAGATCACATAAACTATTAATAGCATCTATGACATCAAGATGTTATAATCTTTTTACTCACCTAATTATAATGTCCTTTTTGTAGTACCATTATAATTTCTCCCTAAACTAAACGATTAGCATTCTTAATTGATGATCTTTTAGTACCAAGGACTGGCTTCTTGACATGATTACAAAAACTCACTTTCCGTATTACTCAGCAGCAAGCATTCATACCTCCCCATTAGAGTATTTTGATCTTATTTAAAAAACTGATACAATTACTCCTCTAAGGAAAAATTACAGAGCTACCCAAAGTGGCTCAACCCTAAGCATAATGTATTTATGCTTACATATAGGTCACTACAGAGACTTTTTTTCATAGAATATGTGAATTTACCTTTCTTGGGCAAAACTATCATGGGAAACATTCCACTATGCAACAGTTTTGACACTGTTTTATCCATGACCTTAAATTTTATCTTTAAATAGGAATGGGCCTTTAGGATGTTCATGTGCAATTATCACCCCAATAAAATGTTCATGAAATACAGCTTTATGGCATAACTTACAATTTAGTTTCAAAACTAAACCTACATGAGAGTAATTTCCTAAAAACAGCATTTCATTTTTTGTCAGCCTTATCTATGATTGGCTATATCCATACAGATGGCCAGAGTTAAATGTGAACTTCCCAACACACACACACACACACACATGCATATTTAGAAAACATAAATTACTCTAGAGGTGAATTTTGTGTAACATAATACCATATAAAAGCCTTAAATTCTTAATACAGTTATCTCCTGGCTCGTTTCATCATAATATAGACCCTAAAGGCTAATTCAAGTCTGGTTTTAGGATACATTTTCTCTCTACCAGTGACGTTTACTGGCAAAGTTCTCCCAACTTCCAGGAGATTACTCTTAATTTAATTCTAAAACAAACATGGTCCTCCATAATTCACGTGAAAAAGAGAGATGAGATATGCCTACGTAGCAAACCATTAAATTACAGCGGTAAAGGAATGTTTTGTCAATCCAGTAAACTTCTTTCTATTTTTAGTAGCATTCAATACCATGACAAGAATTTGATCTGGAACTCAAACCAGTAACTCTATTTTTTTCAGAATCAGAACTAACATTCCAGTGAAACTGCAAATGCCTGATATGCGAAAACATTCAAAAAGAAAAAACAGCAAGTTTAAAACACAACACCTGTCTTAAGTTCTTTCCTCCACTAGATCTTACATTAACAACGAAACTCCACTACTCCTTAGCTAAAATGTAAGAACTCAAGGTGAAAATATTTACGCACAGCAGGCTGGGAAGATGAAGATGAAGATGGTGTTAAGATACCAATAAGCCCTGAGGTAAGAGAGAGCCTCCTGCCTTCCGCAGTAGGTTCCTTGAAAAGCTCGGTTTTGGATGCCTTTGGGGCGCTGGAGTAAGACTTGCTGAGCAGTTTGTGATTCTTCAGTCCGTACAGCTCCTCCATTCTAAGGTTACTGGAGTAGGATCTGCTCAACAGTTTGTGGGGCTTCAAGTTGGCGGTATGCTCACATCGCGGGTCTCCAGAACAAGATCGAGTCAATAGTTTATGCGACTTCAGAGTGAGGCAGTCCTCTTGCTTAACAGCAGCAGGGCAGGGACGGTTCAAGAGTTTGTGCGATTTAATTGTTGTCATCGCCTGCTCAGCTCTGGGATCGCTGGACAGGGAGCGACCAAAGGTCCTGTGCGACTTGGTGGAGCACACGTCGTCGGCCTTGACCGTGCTGGAACAAGTCCTCCGCAGCAGCTTATGTGTTTTGGAGATGCCATCTTGCTCAGATTTCAGTTTGGATTTGCTTTTCCCACAACCAGGGGGAGGATAACTTGGCGACCTTCAAAATGGAACAAGAATTAATAGTGGGAAAAGGACGAGTCTAACAAACCATGGAGAACACTTGGCATGCTTAGTTTCTACTGCAGACCATATGTACTACCATCTCACTTAAATACAGCCTACCCTGTTAAAGAGAAAATCAAGGATACGTGCAGAAAGATCCCAGGAATAAAACCACATGTTCCTGAAAAGCAGAAAACTCTAAGGGTCCCTCCCCGCACAAACTGTGCCAGTACTCCATATGAAACTAACAGCTATGAGCTCCAGGTGAGCCAAAAGCAAATACAGTTTTAGTGAACTGAACAGATGCTAAAGCAGTAAAAGTGACAGAAGTGAACATTTATGTTTTTGATAGAATACAGAAATGTAGTCCATTCTTTAAAGTCATAAAGAAAATAAACAGGCTGTGTGTGGTAGTATGTGCATGTAGTCTCAGTACTTGGGCGGATGAAGCAGGAGGATCGCCATGAGTCCTGTGTCAGATAAATACACAAACACACAAACAGATGCTAAGACTACAGAATGCTTTAAACTGAGTTAACAGTGCACTCATACGCTCATCAAGACAATGGGAAGGTCAAGCGTTACCAACCTGCGCAAGGTAGAAAATAAATGCAGGGGGGACTTCACTTTCTTTTCTGACAGTTTCTTATTGTGCAAGCAACTGGACTTTTCTTTGCTCTGTTTCCACTGTTGTGTAACAAATGTTTGCATGATCCTGTCAAACCAAAGATAATTCTGTTATTCCAGTCCTAAAGTGAGGCAAGAACTTATCATGTTGAAAATTCATTCATCAAAGGAGATAAGCACACGGTAACCAGGAAGATTCTAATTTAGAATTACTATATACAAAATTTTTCATACACAGGAAAGCATCAGGTAGCTAGCTACCAAGATTTAATTATGACTAGTCACATCACAATATGGGAAAACAATTACTAATTATTCAGACAAAGTATAATCTAGAATGATTTAAAAATAGATGGGAGAATAAATATATGAAGAGAATTATTATGACAGCCATCAGTATCAGCAGCTTTAGCTTTAGTATTTTAAAAAATCAGAATGATTTTAAGTAAAGCCAATTTCTTTTTTTGTTGTTGTTTTGCTTCTATGTCAAACAATAAAACTGTATATAGAAATAAATCACGCAAAACTGACTGTAAAAACACATGGTTAGTAAACTATTGTCAGGATAGTGGAGTATAATGTCTTAAAATTTGGTTATTCTTAAAAGCACTTTAAAATAATTTTTTTCATTACTATCAAAAAGCAGGAATGTGATCATTTCTAATCTCAACATTTTCAATAAGATCACTACATCAGACATCACAGTAATAACTCTGATATATCAGTTCTGCACTTAGGAGAAGGGTCCAGGGACAGCTTTCCAGGCTGCTCATCTTCCAGGTGGCAGTGGATAACCATGCCCTGAACGCTAATATCGAAGATAGTTTTCTTTCAAAACAGCTTTAGCGTTGCCCATCTGTCATGCTCATTTCAATTATTTCCAAAATAGATTGGTTCTGGGAAAGGAAAATGGTACTGATACTTGTTTACCAGTTATAGTGAGAGAGTAGAACAGGAACTTTACATACACATTTTTTCCCTTTAATTCTCAAGGCACTTTCAGAAAGTAGCTACTATTGCACATATTTCACAAACAAGAAATGAAAATCAAATCTTCCCAGGCACACTTGAGTAATGGTGACAGAGTCGAGGTACACACACCAACCAATAGGGCTGACACACGTACAATATGTTGTTCATCAGGGACAGGTGTGACTCTGAGCACTAGACCAGTTATTAAATTCCTCAAGATCTTTCAATAATAAGGAACTAAGTCATTCCCCAGAAGTTTATCATTTAGGCTTTATTAGTGCTTCTTCTGCTAGCTGTAGGAGCAGTGAGACACAGGGGAAGACAGTCATGAATACATCACCAATCTGAATTCACAGTACATCTGCCTTAGAGCTCAGCAAGGAGCTTTTTTACCTTACACTTCATGGTTAAAGATTTTTTTTCACCTAAGATTTCACCAGGATTTAAATGTAATAAGGCTATAATTTCTCCCCAAACCTAATAAGAGATTTCCAGTGACAGACAGACAGATTTTCTTTTTATACTGTAATTTAAAAAAACAAAGTTCCCATTCTGGGGGTGCAAGACATCCAGCAAGTATTTGCCTAATCAGGACAAGCTAACTGGAACCAAAAAACAAAAACAAACAAAAAAAAGGAAGGTTAAAGTTTTTCTCTCATGTTATGCGACATCGGCATGTTACATCAGCATGAACTTTCACCTAAAATCAGTTATTGTTTTAACTTGGATACCCAGACTTGCAGCTGCTCTTAGATACAAAAGTAATGAAACTGGGCTGGTGCCTACCATGTATTTGACTTCCAGCATGTCAAAATATAATGATTATTTAAAATCAGTGCCAGTCTGAAGTACATATATGAGTACATTTGGTATAATGTCCACCTCCTCATATAGGGAGCCTCTCAAAGATTTAAATATTCACGTTTGAGATTGTGCTGGCACCAAAAAGAACTACTGCAATTATTGAAGGCTAACAATAAAAGAGAAAACTATGTCAAGGTCAGCTACACACCTGCACTGATTGAAGAGCAGAAGATGCTGCAGCCAGCTTTGTGAACAATGGTTCCAGGACACTCACAGAGCAAAAAGAGAACCCACTTAGGCAACACCATGATTTTCTTCATGCTGACTTGTTTTATTTTTAGAAAGAAACTATGCACTAGACAGTATTAGACTGTAGGACTGAACTTGAACAAAGTAATATCACCCATTAAACTGAATTAAAGGCATTCATTTACATGTTTTTAGCATTTTGATTTTTACTTAGATTCAGCTTTATAAATGTGGAACTCCACACATGAAGAATTTGTACCTGATTTTATTTTTAACATTTTTGAGGTGAGGCAAGATTTTCAGTTATTTCCCGCATAAATACAATTTAACTGTGCTCAGTGAAAAATGTCATACGAAGTTTAAGGTCATCTTCACCATATCTTACATGCTCTGCCTTTGAAAGACAGCCGCCCTGAACAGGACTGATCATTGGGCCTCTGTATCCTATCAACCACAAAAAAATATGTATTTTCCCTTTGGGGATTTACTTATTCATTTCACATTCTCCCAGTATTCACTAAATGCCACAGACCTATCCCTCAACTTCCATGAGACATAGATTTCTATGAGATTAGTGTATGGGACAACAGAATCAGTCTGGAGTGAAATTCTAGCTCTTCCACTTTCTCACAGTGTGGCCTTAAATTTAACCTCTCTAGTCCTCAGTTTCTTCAAGGAATACAACAGTAACACTACTTATGCTTCATAGGGTTGTGGTGACAAGTGAATCACTTAATATACGACAAGCATTTGGAAGACTGGCTGACATGTAATAAGCTAAAGCATTTGCTGCTGCAGATGCTACTGTTAAAGAGTCTGTCCTGCTGTCCAAGACACAAGAAAAAGGGATAAGAGAAACACTTCATGAGAATCTCTTATTTCCTGAGAGCAAATCTAAATGGTTACAAACACTGAAGATTCTAAACTTGCCTTCCTTCCGGAATGTTTCTGTAAATAGCCTCTTAACAGTTCAGATTCTTTTTAGGAATAATTGTAAAGATACAAGTAAATGTTTAAATATTGTGTAACATTAAACTACAGATCACAACAAAACCCAGCTATTCATAATTAAGGAAACAAATGCATCAGGCTAAACTGTATTAAGGATTATGAAAAAAGATACTCTGGTCCGTATTAATTTCCTACCTAGCTAAAATTTACACATGAAAGAAATCTTTCAAGAAGGTTATCTATCTAGAAGCAAATATTAATAAAACACAGTACCTTCTACTAAGTTTTTAAAGAGTAAACACAACCCATAGATTTGTTAATTTCTTGGAACTAGAATTATCATTTCTTTTTCTGAACCTACATGACATATTTAAAAGTCGATAAAGGTACAGCTATATATTTCTAGTGCTTCCATAATTCTTGTGTTTTTCTCAACCCCATCCTACGTTTTTAAAAAAGTTATTAAGTGGGAGGAAACTGAGTAGAAAAATCATAAACTTTAAAAACTGTGCTAAAATAAGTGGCACCAAACTTGGGGACTATAATGAGGAGGTAGGTTCCATGCTTCCCTCTACGACTTGAAAAATATGGGCTCTACCCAGAAAACAACCCACCTGCACTGGAGAAGCACATCTAATCTTAGAACAGAAAACTGAGGCTGTGTCTGGTGAGTTCTTACAAAAGAACATTACATAATAAAATGTGCTAAACATACATCGTAAGTCAAATTTAGGTTACAGATGCAAAACTCTAAACATTAAGGGTTTACTGTCTGATTCTACACTGCACATGTTTAAACTCGACACATGGGCTTTAGAAGAGCATTCATCTCCAATTTTCAAATGTGAGTGATGTGCAACTCATATTTGCATACTGCTGCCTCAATGCAAAGCCATCAAAACTGGGGGCAAATCTAGAGCTCTGTGATAGAGATGACCCTAGGCTTTACACAAGACTTCCTATGTTAGGCAGAAAGTCCCTATGTGGCAAAGTAAACAGTTCCAAAGTGTTTGCTCTTAGAATATTGTCCAACAAAGGCTGTTGTAGAAAACCAAATGAAAACTGATCAAAATAAAAGGGAAGGTGTAGAATACATTCTGATGAACAATCTAAACAATGTGTTTCAGTACGCGATTATCTTGTGGTCTTTCTTTACAAAGTTAATTTAGAGTTACCCGCTTGAGAAAGAAAAAAGGCAGAGAGAGAGAAAAGAAAGGAAACACAATAGAGATTGCTCAAAAAATTAAAAACAGGGGCTGGGGATTTAGCTCAGCGGCATAAGTGCCTGCCTTGCAAGCAGGCAGTCGTGAGTTCGATCCCCCGGTACCGGTAAAAAGGAAAAAGACCAAAAAAAAAAAAAAAAAATTAAAAACAGAACTCCTTATAATTGTGTAAGCTCACTACTGGTGTTCATGCCACAGAGATGAAATCAGCATGTTGACAAATCATCTGCACTACCGTGGTCATTGCAGCACCATTCACAATGACCAAGAGACGGAAACAACCTAAGTGCCACCAGATGACAAATGCATAAAGAAAATGGGTACTTGTGTCCGACGGAATACTATACTGTCAAAAAAAGAATAGAAGCCTATGATTTGCAACATTATGGATGAGACTTCACATCACTACAGCAAAATAAGATAGGCACAGAAAGATAAACACAGCATGACCAACCTATATATGGAATCTGAGACACCTGACCTTGCAGAAGAAGCTGAGGAGAACAGTGGTTACCAGAGGCTGGGCAGAGTCATGGGGAGCTGTAAAAGTGTGGTAAATGGGCATTCAGTTCCAATTAGGTATGATTAAGCCATCTGAGTGTGCAAGTGTGGCACCTAGTGACTGCAGGTAACAATTATGTACTGTGTTCCACAAAACCAGAAAAGGGGATTTTGAATGTATTCACCATAAAGAATCCACAGGTGTTTGAGAAGAAAGATCTGCTCAATGCAATTTAAAAACCGCACAATTTATAGAAATATCTCAATATGCATGATTTATGTATTATTTTATGTAACGTATTAATATGTATATTCTTATATTTTGTGCATTCACAAAAGTAAATTTACAAAGCTTTTTAAAGTTGAAAATCCACTTGTTAATTATCTATATTTAACCATCCTCCAATGTATATGTACTTTAAGTAAGACATGCGGTATACAATAAATGTTACCTATCAATTTTTTGAAAATTAAAAATTAATGAATAAAATAAAATTGGCTTCAATTCACGTAGGGTAATTCTGTCTTCTCTCATTCATCTAGATCTTCTGTCTGCATCCCCACTGCAGGGAAGGGGGACATGGGCAGTATCATTAGTTCTTGCAGGGAAAATCAAAATAAGCACCCTGGATCTGTACCAAAACACAAGTCGACGGGCCCCAAAGGCCTGTGCTTTCCCTCAGACATGTGATCATTTGATTTTAGCAAGTGTTCAAAGACAATTTTTGTCTATAATGTAGCAGTGTCCTTTTACTACTCAAAGACCATTTCTTTATGCTGTCTTTGTATTGGCTCAATCAGTGTTTTCATTTTCCACTCTTCAAAAGCAAGTTTTTATAGAAAATGGTTTTTAAAACTAAAAAAAAATAGAGTTGAACAGTGAAAAAATCATCAATAAGCCTCTGCGAGATTTTGAAGCAATATACAAAAACTTCATCTTTTTTCTTTTCTTTTTTTTTTTTCCCATCGGTACTGGGGATCGAAATCACGACCACCTGCTTGCAAGGCAGGTGCTTATGCCACTGAGCTAAATTCCCAGCCCCTCTTTTTTTTTTTTTTAACACAAGCTCTCACTGTGTAGCCAGGCTGGCCTTGAACCATGACAGTCCTCCTGCTTCCTCTTCCCAAGTGTTGGGATTATAGGTGTGGGCCACCATGCCCAGTCCAGGCTTCATCTTTTCTTCATGCTTAAAACCTATAATAAAACTTCTACTTAGGTCGACTAAAAATACTCAAGTGCACAAGAATTCTGGTGACTGGGGGCTTGGGATTTAGCTCAGCGGCCTAAGCGCCTGCCTTGCAAGCAGGCAGTCATGAGTTTGATCCCTGGTACCAATAAAAACGAAAAAGACAAAAAAAAAAAAAAAAAAGAATTCTGGTGACTGCATAAATGAGAGGTCATACTGGCTAATGATACATTAAAGAAAGTATTTACCTCTTCAAATGAACTATATACACACACTATATTTTTGAAGAAACACATCCATTTATATAACATAAACTGAGTCACTTTATGACTCAAGGTCCAAACAGGAAATGAACAGTCCACTTATAAAAGAAAGGTTTTGAAGGCGTAGGAATGAGAAACAGGAATAGGATAGCAGCCTAGGCCCAGCGGCTGCAACTCTGTTCTCACCACCAGGCCCGAAGCAACAAGAACTAGCCACAGACACTGGCCAGGAGCGGCACCCGGACACTGCAGCCAGAGCAGCAGGGAAGTGCAGAGGGAGGAACCGGACCTCCTGGAGAAGTGAGTGGGGCAACCAATGCACCCTCTCTCGTCCCATTTCCTCTGTGGGTCACATAGAAGACACAGGACGCTATGTCCACATCGGTCAACCTTCCCATAGAGTGCAGGGTACTGGCTGGAAGAGGACAGCTCTGAGCCAGAAAAAGAAAGGCCAGGCCCCAGGCGATACGGAGTGCTACAGAGCAAAGGAAGGATGCAGTTCTGCAGGCCAGGAGGGTTCCTCTTCTTCAGACACTCACTTCAACAACATCTTGGTGAGTGAAAATGGGAGGAAATGAGCCAAAGGAGCACTCAGGTCTCTTGAATAGAAATGCACTGTTTTATTCTTCAGCAAACTTACTTTTTCAGCTGATGTCCCAATCCAAATCGCTCTTTTGTGGAAATCTGAAAGACATCAACAGTGGGCACTGGAAAGAGAAAAAAAAATCACTCAATACTGACTTGAAACTCAGCCACCAGCAGGAAAAAGACTGAAGGAACAATACACACACATACGCTGAAGTGCAGTGTGCACACTGCTATTTACAGGCTGTACACACATAAAACATATGCAGAAAGTCACGAGTGGCCACTAAACATTAAAGTAAATCTGTATGTGTTGACATATAACATGTACACTGAAGTGGGCATGGTGGCACACGCCTACAATCTGAGAGCCAGAGGATCTCAAACTTAAGCAATTTACCAACTTACCTAGAGTTTGTCTCAAAATAAAAAACTTGCAAAAAAGCTGGGAATGCAGCTCAGTGGAAAGGCCCTGGGATCAATCCCTAGGTATCACAAAAAGCAAGTTCTAGGATAAATAATAATCTTCAGAATAACCGATAGCTTTCATAGACACATTCTGGCTAGTATAAAAGCAAGGTGGACAGCAGGCTAAAGAAAGGCAGCACTTGGCCCTCGGGAAAAGACTGGACAGTGAGGTGGAAAGGAAGCCTGGCCCAGGCCCGCCTACAAGGGGCGCGGGGATTTTAAAGTGAATAAAAAATACTAACATCCCGAAAATCCAGTGGAATTTTTTTTTTATGAAAAAGACGACAAAATGAGAATACAGTATCGAAGAAGATGTAGGACACAACCTTTTCACAAGCAGAAAGAAAAAAATGGGGAGAGAAGACACCAGATGCAGAAATCTGTCTCACTTCAAATAGGAGGGAAAATGTGACACACAGAACCAGAACTAAAGTTTTGCTAGAGGAGATCGTGTGCGAAAAAAAGGCAAAAGAGAATAACAGACACAAATCTTTATGTAGAACATATTAATAAATGTTGCAAAATAAAAACACAAAACCCAGAACTTAAAAGCTGCATGACTAAGAAATAAGGGTCAATATTTTATCAAAATGACAAAATTACATAAAAAAATTACAAACATTGACCCAGTTAATAGGAATAAAATCTAAATGACCCACAACCTTTTAATATATCAAAAGAGCTCACAAAATACTTTTTAAAAAAGTAAATGATAGAATGCATATTAATGTAATAAACTCTAATTATATTTAAGGTAGTGACCTATTAATAATGAGGGCAACAGCATGGAGTGTTGCAATTTTTCTGTAAATTTAAAAATATTTTCAATTAATTTTTAATAACATCTTTAAAAATTAAAAGCTTCCTGAAACCCAGTAATAACTAGTTAGAAAATAAATTGGACAATAAAAATCTCATTAAGCAAACAAGTGCTCGAGTAAACTCATCTAAAAATAAGCCAAATAAAAATTCTAAAAACCACATAACTGTGCTAATATAAAACTAGAAACTACAATAAATATTCTTTAATAGAAAAACAGGTATTGCCACTTGAGATATGCCTCTTCTTCCAAGGCTTATTCACAAGTTTACCACAGATACAATCAAATTCATCATGGGGCTCATTTTGGGTGGCAAAGAAATGAGGAAGAACTTGACAATGTATTAGAAATACATTTTCACATTTTAAAAAGGTGAAAGTTAATCATTTTTTTCCTTATCTCTCATGTAATTTCAGTTAAGAAATGAAAACTGCCCAAGATGTGAGGAAATTATTCTGCAGCTGATCACATGACTGTAAACACAGAAGATACCAATCATGAGACTTTTTGCACAAAAAAACCTTCTAACATAACATTGATTGTTTTTTATTATCAACTAAAACTGGCCTTCCCTTTACATCAAAGACTGGACTTAGATTAGCCACTCTGAAAAATATACTATCCCAAGAATTGAAACAAATGGTATCACGTCTCTGTTTAAAATATATTTTCCCATATACAATAAAAAAATCCTTATCTTTAATTTCAAAGTAGATACAAAGGTAACAGTTCTTCAATTCTTACCATTCCTGTTCACTCACGGATACACAGTCAGATTTGCCCAGGTCAAAGATTGTAATTTAAAATAAGTGGTGTTCACACGTTTCCCACCCACAGGAATAAATGTTTTTCTAAAAGAACTGTTAAGTAGGTCAGTCTAAATCATGTATTAGTCACAAACTTTTTTGCAAGTTCATTTTACTATAAATGCTGGTACCTGCAAAGACTTATTGCAAAACATTCTTAAAGAAGTAGTTTCTCACCTTCTCATTTGTCTGAAATAACTAAAATTAGAAACCAAGATAAAACTTAATTATTTCTTCTAGCATATAAATTACATTGCTCCTCTTAGGGAACTTCACTTCTAGTTCTCCTCATGTATTACACAATTATCACCCATTTTAAATTGTGTTTTTTCTCTCAGTTTCTCAATAACAACAACAACAACAACAACAACAACAACAACAACAACAGCAACAAAAGCCTTTCGGAGAATGTACTAAGATAGTAATGTGAATAAACACTGTTCACAAGCCCTAATTTAAATAGCATATTATAAAAATGGAAGAAAATAATGCCACCCCTCTGTAAGAAATTTCCAGAAAATTTTGCTACGACTAGAACAGGTGAAGTAAATCTTCAGGGATCTCCAATAGCTAGTCCAAAATTCCACAGTATGAAGGAAATGGACAAAAAAATTATCTCAAAATAAGGGGGCAAATGAAGGCAAGTATCTCCACGGCAGTTTCCTGAGGGGGGACCAGCAGTGCGGGGTCCAACCAGAAAATCTGTTAGTTTCCTCCACCAACGGATGGGAACTCCATTGGATCCCTGATCTTTGACCAGGTCCTCTCACAAGTAGAGCCTGACAAAAACTTTGTAAGAATTGCTCACAGAACCTGCAAAGGGACATGAGAAGCATGGCACAGTAATAGAGAAATAGCCCAGCCCAAGGTACAAATTCTGCCAGGATCCAGCTTCTGCCCAACCCTATGTATTGCTGAGACATAAAGTATGCCTCAGAGTTTGTCTAACTTGACACAAAATGGCTGAGCCACTCTACTTCCTCACCAGAGGGGAGGGAGAAGGTAGAGACTTTCCCAGAGCAATCTGCTCTGCTCAAGGTAGAGAATGCTCCTGTGGTGAGAGGAATCCAGTGCATGTGTACATTACTAGCAGCAAGGGGTGCAGAGGTAGATATTTAACACTTAGAATATGCATTCTGCTTAAAGCACAGTGCCTAGCTAACTAATATTCAACACAGTAGGGAAATAAAACTAACCTGGGCCATTTAAATATTGTGTGAGTGAACAGTGGAGTCGAACTATTATAGGTTCTGTTCGAATCAGTTCCCAAGCCACAGCAATCTCCTCCTGCACAAAAATATGTGAAAGCTGAGTTAGTCATCTTTTAGAATTCAAAACAAAACTTTAAAAATTCACGTTAAAGGAATGCATAAATCACAGAGGCAAAAGCCATTGTACTGTGAAAAGGCCAAAGTAGTCTTAATTTTTGTTTGTATGCATGAAAAGTAAATGTAAAAATTTAGAATAAGTTACTATAATAAAAATCATAGTTGGGCACTGTAGTATGTGCCTATAAACCAGGACTTGAGAGGCTGAGGCAGAAGGATCACTGCAAGTGCAAGGCCACTCTGGGCTATAAAGTACGTTCAAGATCAGCCTGAACTACTTGGCAAGATCCAGTCTCAAAAGACAAACAAACAAGTGAACAAACAAAAAACACCCATAAATTTCAGAATATAATGAAAAAATCAATACCAAAAATACCTTTGTATATAATTTCCCCTTTAACTAGGGATAGTATTTCTGCATAAATCAGTTTATAGTCAATGTGATAACGTTGTAAGACAACCAAAAATAACCGTACTTTAAGTGTACCAGTTCTATTACCGAAATTGATACTTACATCAAGAAAGCTCACATCAATATGCAGATCAATATCTACATCATCAATGGCTCCATATTCCCTGAAAGCAAAGATCAACATTAGGGTTTATTTTTTCCACTTTCCTTAAAATATGGCATGTGGCAGATTATTTTAATTAAAAATTCAGTCACCAGTTCTGACTGCTGATTTCCACAGGTATCACAGAGCTGACCGTGAACATGAACTACTGGCTGAATACAGTTGAGCTGTCACTTGCTGTGACCTTTTTATACCATGGAGATACCTTTGTGCGCATGCACATGCATGAGTTAACTCCAAGAGTTGGCTTTTTCAGGGTTTCAAATTAGTCAAGTCTCCCAACCAGACCGATCTGATTTCATCACACTCTTGAGGATGAAGAGCTGAGGAGCTGCTCCTAACGGCAAAAAAGGGGTTCTGGCATACGTGAGGGCAGGGGTGCAAACACAATAAAATGTCTGCGAGTTTGCTCCTGCTTAGTCACTGGTGCTGGGAAATTGAAAGGTAGGAAGCTAGAAAAGTTTGATGTGTCAAAATTAAAGTAACTTTAAAAAATTAAACTATAACACGTTCTAAATAAAGACACCAGGAAGACCAACTTTTGTACAGTTTGGGTTAATGAAAGATCACAAAAACAATACTTTTAACATTCTCCATTTACGCACATCTGCATTTCTGATACCCTTATAAAATTCTAAAGTTACGAAGTCTGCATATAATGCAGAAATAATTGAAATGATAAAAATTAATGGCCAATATTTACTGAGCAATTATGGGCCAGAAACCATTCTAAGAATCTTACCTACATATGCTTATTTAATATTCACAAACCATTACAGGACCTACTATTTCCACATAACCTGAGGCTAGTGTAATGAAGTAACTTAATCATTATTGTTCTGCAGCACAGCTGGGACTTGAATACATGTATCTATGCATGCATCAAATTGGCTCAAATTTAAGAAACTACCACTTAATATTAGAAACCAGGGTACACATTAGTGGATAATCTCCTTGGTCCTCATTATGGCTCTGTGAAGTGGAAAATATTACTATATTGATTTTGCAGATAAAGAAACTGAGATTCAGAGAGGTGGAAAAGTTGCCAAATGGAAGGTACAAAGTCAATAGAGAAATCAGGCATTGAATCCATCTGTATCACACAGTATCTGGTACATAGCAAGGATTCAGTGTAAACTGCCTGTGTATCATAAACAGAAATAATACAAATATAATACAGAATTACAGCACATTTACAGGGGCCAGAGTAGAAAATGGTTACACGTAATTTAATGAATAAAGAAATCTAGGAGATCTTTTCTTATATATCTCCTACATATATCAAAATATATAATCAAATACAATCAAATCAGAAATATAATCAAAATAAGGCAGTATACATTAGATTACAACTTAAACTACATTTTCAATATATCAAAACACTGAGCATTTTGTCTTGTAAAATCATACTTTTTAATTTCTAATAGTAATACTTTTAGTTACAATTAAAAAGATTAAAATAGCCTACATTTTAAAAACATCACAGCGTCATAATGTATGTTCTTCATAAAACATAAATTTAAAATTGAATTGGAAATCATACAGAAAATATGACAGAAACAAGGACCAAGAAAATGAGCTATTTCTTCTGTCTTAACTCAGGGTCTAGCAACCTTTCTCTGTGAATCTGAAAGGTTTTGGGGTTATGCATGGTTTTTGTCACACATGCTCTTTGGTTTTTTTATTTCCTTTTTATGCAGCCTTTTAATAAAGCAAAACCAGTTTACGGATCATGGTATTCCAAAACAGGCCTCACAGCCTGGTAACTGCAACTTAACAACCCTGCATATAGGCAAATGAATCATAAATACAGTAGGCCATCTATTCACTGCTAGGCATGGAGAGATCATCCACGCAATGACAAGGAGAGATGATAATATGCAAAGGAAGTTTCAGGGTGGAGGACAGGCCTTGAATAAATACTATTCTGCTTATAGGAGGTAATCCTAAGAAAGTAAGGACAAATCTCTGCGAACTTTTACCTGGTTCAGCATATGCAACAGCAGAAATTAGAAACAATTCAACTAATATCCCATAACAAGAGAACGTTTCATTATGGCAAGTTCATGAAAATTTGTCTATTGAAAAGGCAGTTGATACAAAAATACTGTATCCTGGAAGGAATGCTACTGACATACTCCTTTCTAAACAAGCAGATTTAGAAGGAAAGAAAGAAAGAAAGAAAGAAAGAAAGAAAGAAAGAAAGAAAGAAAGAAGGAAAGAAAGAAAGAAAGAAAAGAAAAAGAAAAAAGAAATCAAGACGATTTAAAAACTATTATCTCATTTTCCATAAAAAATTTGATTAGTTGGAATGGGTTTATACTGATTTGTTGAGTTTTATTATCTGTGATGGTATGAACAGCTATTTTGAAGAAAACAGGTCATTACAATAAGCCACTGCTGATTTAATATCATCTTACGCTGAAGTTCTACCATGCTTTTGTTCTTCTGTTTCCACTGGTTCTATCATGTTGCATCTTATTGGATTGCATTATATGTATTAACAATTTTTTTTATGGAAAATGAGATAATAGAGTATCAATGTTTTATCATTGTTCATTTTTTGTTATTTGGTTCTGAATGCCCTGTAATACTTTCATTGTGTTGAATGGTTTTATACTATTTTGTTATGTTTGATACTATTGTACATGAAGTTATGCTCAACTATTTCAAAGAAAGAGACATTATGGTAGGTACTGTTAATTATGGGTGGTCTTCTGGTAAAATGCTGTGTTGCCTCCATTGTTCTAATCTGCTTTGTTATGTCCTGTTTTGTCTCACTCTCTTTAAAATAAAAATAAATAAATAAATTTCTAATTAGTAACAGTAAAAAAACTAGATATGACAGTCAAATAAGAAGAGTATTCATATGGCAACTACACGTTGCATTCAAAATTTGTGTTATAAAAAGTGCACTTCTGCTCCAGGCATGGTTGTGTAGTGTTCGCCTGTAATCCCAGCACTTGGGGAAGCTAAGGCAGCAAAATATAGGTTCAAGGTCACGCTGAACTACATAGAGAGACCCTGTCCCAAAACACAAAAATAAACAAACACGAAAGTGTATTTCCTAAAAACGTAGATCAAACTTCTGGTTAAAAAGGTAATACATAATCATCGTAGCAAATGTGAGAAGCAGAAAATTACACTAAAAAATTTTCTAATACCACAATCAATGATAATTATTGTTTGCTGATGTCATTTTCATATATGACATCTAAAAGTTTTTGTTCTCCTACAGTCAATGTTTTTCTATATTGTAGATTGTCTTTCAAAACTGTAACTTTCGATGCTTGTATGTATATTACACATAGCTGCATAATAAAATGTTTGCTGCTTTATATTTTATCAGTCCTCTGAATAAAAATCTATGTGCACCTATATTCTGTGCACAGAATAATTTCTAGAATTCCTGGTTCAAGTGAATAATATGACTTAATTTAAGATTCCTGGTATATATTGCTTAGTTATTTTAAAAGGCTAAACAATTTACAGCCATCTCAGCAGAATTACCCCAGTGGCCATCCCCCTATATCCTTGTCAGAACTGGATTGTCTTCTTTTTCACATTTTCTCAACCTCAGTGGGGAGAATTACTTTTATTTGAATTGATTTACATCGACAGGGCATTGGTCATGGTTAGAGACAGACAAAAAGAAATCAGATTTTTAAAAAAATAGTAAAAACACTTACACACTATTATTTTTTTCATATACAGTTTTCCAAAGCACTTCAACAGAATGTACTGTAAAGTTATGATTAGAATGTGACATCTGTGGACTTTAAAAGATAAATTTTAAAGCATTCTTAGGTATAAGTTCTTGAACAATTTTTTGGTTAGAAGTAAGCTTCTTCCAAATCTTCAAACACAAACTATTTCAAAAGGGTGGGGGGGTTCAGTTACAAGACCCTTCTTCACCATCGCAGAGCAGGAACACAAGATTAAAAGGAGGTGAACACCCGAAAGGTTTGCAATTAACTGGATTCTGCAGGTGTAGATCCATAAATAGTTACTTGCTTTGTTTATACGCCACAGTTCAAAGAACTCATAAATGACACTGTGCTATGCAAACCCAGTTCCGTTATGAAGCCCTTTTTACATAATGCCAGTAATTTCAAGTTTCCCACTGCAAGATCACAAAGCATGTTTATTAGAGTTTCTCCAGACGCAGCAATTCAGTCCATCAGCAGGATCATTTCTGTATCTGAATAATTTCCAGTAGCACAGGATCTCATGAAGAGCAAATCCAAAATCAAGTCTAGTAGTTGATAGATGAATGCTGCTTGAATTGTGATTGTCTTCAATGTAATAGTTGGTTTATAATAAAATAATTTCATGTACTGCCTACATTTATACCCTATGAAAAGACCATATGTAACTGAGGTTAAAAAATTTCTTTTAAAATGAGGGAAATAATCCAAAAATTATGTGATGCAGTTGTTTTGCTCTGCAGTGGAGGATCTGGAAAGAAACTGTGCATAAAAGAATTCCTAACACCTGGTGAGACTTTAAGTTTCAGGTGAGCTACCCTAGGAGTCTATATAACTTTAAATCTAGCCATTTTGTTTTGGATATTTGCATCGTCCCTAGGTTAGTTAAGAACCAATATATGGAATATTTGTGTTAATAACTTTTGAGGATTCTGTCAGGATTCTTGACAATTCATTCTGTTTTTAATGGAACCAATCAAGAACATCCTCGTTGAGACATTCACATGTGTACTCACGTCCTATAAGATATTGGACTGTGTTGTCTTCCTTTCTCTGTAATACTTCAGCTTATTTCCTCTACTGCTGAAATGTGCTGTAGCACAACCTGGTCAAAATGAGTTGTGATCATGCAAGTTATAAAAAATGTATTTAGATATCTAACTATTCCTAAATAATAAGACATCAGGAAAATAACATATATATACAAACACACACAGAAACACAGACACACTTCACTACAGACCTGTATGGCTATGTCGTTATTTCTATTTTCAACAATTAAGATGATCAGACTTTGAAAAGGTATTTTGTGAATAAACACACACCTTTCTGCAATATCTGAAACTCAACAGCTTGCCGGTCTATCTCTGCATGCCTACTCAATGTGTGATTTTGCCCAGTGAGGGAGAAATGTTTGTGAATGGTCCAAGACACATGCAAACTCAGTAATCAGGAGGAAATTTTGGCAAGACCAAAGCATTTACAAGACTGTACCCAAAGCAGCTATAAATTTTTCAAAAAAACAAGACTGAGAAAATTTTAAAAATTAGATTCAGATAACAAGGAATTGGATCTTTTGTAAGACAAAATAATAGTGCATGAGATGTACTGAATAAAATATGTGTCCTAACTCTGCAATCAGCTTACATAGCCGTGATTTTGCTTGAAGCAACTCCAGGGTTGGGAGCAAAGCAGAGCATCGGGGCTCTGATCCTCAGAAGCCCACATCTACATTCTGCTTCTCTGTCTTTGGAAAAACCTCTCCCTTGGGTGTCTTTACCCTACGCACCTCATGTCACTGCTTTCCTGATTTTCAGTGTCAGATTGTTTTTCTCCTCAGCTCGGAGGCAGAGGGTGGAGAATCAATATGCTGGGAAGAATATTATAAACTCCCAAGCCAAAATCTTTTGATGAATGACATATTATGATGCCGGCTGTTATGCTGTGGTGACAAACAGCCTCAAAATTTCAGTGGTTTAACACATACACAAAAAGTATTTATATCTCACAAAAAGTATTTATATCTCACAAAAAGTATTTATATCTCAAAGAAATTTGGGGGTGGGAGGAGATCGATGTCATCATTAAGGAGTCAAGGATAAACAGGAACACTCCCTCTAGCACTTATGTGCACAATTCACCGACCAAGACTAGTTCCATGTCTTTACCTAGTATTAAAGGGACCTGGGATATCACCCTACCATATTCCAGGGCAAGAGAACCTGAAGGTTTGTAAATAGTCCTATCGGCTACTACAAATACAAACTCAGAAATTCAGAGAAATTAAAGTGGTCTGTCCTGACCTATGTGTTCTTTTTCTTGCTTTTATGTTAGTTCTTCCTTTTAAAGATACATTTGGTTTCTCTGGTGGGCCTAAGTATGGCATTACAGGTTCCTCAAATGGCCAATAAACCCTCACAGTTCTCTTGGTCTCTAAGCATCAGTTCAAAAAGGCCTCATCACAACTGTCCATCCATAAAAAAAAGTAATCAAAATGTGGAAGAGTCATAATCTTGGGAGCTTCCAGCCTACACTAGGCATTAATCACAACAAAAATGTCAGATTACTCATACGACTCCAATTTTGAACATGAAAGACAGCATGATCATAAAGCAAAGGTATCTGATATGGTTGGAAGAATTAAATTTCAAAAGGAAATTTACAGAATTATTTCTTGCCTAGTGAACTGATAATTCTCTGGTCTATAAGTCCTTATCTTTTTAAAAATATCAATCTAAAACTTTTCAAATGATATTAATGAAAATTACTTTATAAACATACGATTATAGGGGTATATTTGCAATAAAAAGCAAACACTGATGTAATGCACTTCTGTTGCATAATTAAAGATGAACCATATTCAGATTGATCATCAGACTTCTGCAGAACTAACTCACTTCCCATAGAACAGAGTACAATGCTTAGCAAAATAAAGTCAGATACAGAACATTAAATGCTGCATGGTTTCTCTTAAATCAGAAATCTGAAGTATAAATAATTTCAAGAGCAAAATAAAAGAGACAGGAAATGAGGAGGTAAACCTTTTACAGATGGGAGGTGATCTAAGGGTGGGTGGACCGAGTGAGGAGGAAGAGAAGGAGAAATAAAAAAGGCCTAAGATGGTGCATGTGTAAATACCAATTCCCCCAATACATGTACTCATTATGCATGATAAACATGTACTAAAAAATTTTTTAAAGGCAACTCAAAATCAAAATTGTCATCAGTGTTTGCTCATATGGTTCAATGCAATCATGATTTTGTTTCTCAATGACAGGGCCAGAGATCGCTATCGTTACCTATTTAAATATAAATCTTTCACCTGTCAATTTTTTCTACACATTCTTTTACCATTTTAAGTTGATTTTCCCCCCTCAATCTAAGTAATTAGTTATTCCCATCTCTTTAAAGAAAAAAAACTTAGATGTGGTTAGCTGCTTTTCTCATCAGATGATGCTTTACAAAAAAATGACACCAAATAGCCCATTGTGCATACTGAGCTTCTTTTGCTCTTCAAAGTCCATTAAGTTCTTCTAAGCCTCAATTAAGTAAAAGAACAGCTAATTAGAACAGTCTGTTTTCAATAGACTTAGAACTTTGCAAGGAAGATGATTCCAAGACCTATGCCTAACTCCCCCACTTTCCCATGTGTTCAACTCTCAGTATTTGAGACTAGAAAGTAAATTCATTTTTATTTCGTAAATCAAGCTACTATTACTGTGATTCACCTTTATACCACAAGAACTGTTTTTAGAATCATCCTCTATAATCAGAGAAAATCTGTAGCAGGCACAAATACAGCTTATGTTCATTCTACAGTGTATCAAAACTTATAAGTGAAATAGGCAATGAAAAAATCCAAACCACTTACAATTTTAGGTCTTTCATTTAACTAATATTCCAGACATTTATCAAGTTTAATGCTAGTAATTACCAATAATAACATTAATAGTAGAAATATTAATACCAACCTCCATTGGTACTTAATAAGTGCTTGGTAAAGAAACAATTCATATAAACATGACAAGATAAATGGAGCCTAGATAACATGGAAATATGTTTCACAAGAAAATCTTTAAGCTTAAAAGCAATCTACATGTACTGTTTATCATGATGCACTAAGTATCTTAATAAAAATATGCATTTTGAACAAAAAAACTTGAATTTTGTTTCACTATGAGTTTAATTACATTGGAAAACCTCTTTATTTTAGTAGGGTGAGAAATTACTGTTTTAAAGATTTGAGTTTAAGATCAAAGTTCAATTACTATAAAAATTAGTTGTTCTTTGGTCTACTTATTGATAGCTCTTACTGCCTTCACATATTCATTATATAACCCAAACTGAATAGCTATGTAACCTAATCTGGAGCTTTAACAGACACAAATGTGAAATTTTAACAGCTAATTTGCAAAAACTTCAAAGTGTACAACTGACTTAAAGAGCAATCCTCCTCAAATTCCCTCCTCCGCCCCTGTAGCTGTAACTCCTTGTTCTGGTACAGATAAGATTGGCAACTCTGTCCAGTACACAGAGTTTATGTCATCTTGTTCCTGCAGGATTCATCAGGCTCTGTCTTCTTTCAAGGCTACATTATTAATTGCTGTCTTGATTCTGTACCCTCTCTTGCCGCGCACCCTCTAGACCAACCCTTTAGCCAAATGTATAAAACTAGAGCCTTTCCTTTGTTCTAATGCCCAACACTTTGGACAAGAGTTCAGATGGATCAATGAGCACGTAAAATCCTGGAAATAAATCCTCCTTTTTCCAGGTTGGTCTCGCTGATCTCTTGGATTCTGCAACGACTCAAAAGAAGTCGAGGGAAGCTCTGGGTATACAACCCCAACTTATTTAGGATGCAGTTGGTAGTGTGTTCTGCTTTTGCAATTAAAATGAACTTGGAAGTTATAAATTACAGCCATGCTGTACTTCCCAACTAAAATTATTTGTTCACCCTCTCAAAATATGGTTATGCCCACTCAAGAGAATAATGTGGTCAGTTTTTTTCCGAGACACTTTGAATCCTGTATTTCATGTATTCCCTACTCTGTGCTAAGTATCAAAAGAGAAAGATTTTTTAAAAAGCAAATTCAGACAAAATAAAGAAAAAACCCTCAACATACCCAAGATTCAGGCTAGAGAGAGACAAGTAAACCAACAGTGAAATACACAAAAAGTAAACTAAGACAAAAAGACCGAATGTATTGGGAGTCAAGAAGGCAAAGTAACATTCCAAGAAGGTTGGAGAGAAATCGACTTTTGGGTTAGGGCTTGGAAAGATACGGAGAAAAACATTCTTTGACAAGAAAGCCACACGTGTGAATGCCTGGCATTATGAGAGAATCCACACACCTGGGTACCCGGTGGACATGGGGCTCGAACCGAGGTCAGGTCTAGACAGGGACCTGGAGCTCTATGCTATCGGCAAAGGGAAGGAAGCCAAAACGACCAGAAATCATTCCTGTGTACTAACTGAGTAACAAAAAAGCCTTTGCTTTATACTATACAGATAAAAGAAAGGCAAATAAGAATCCTAAGGTCTTCTGAACAAGTGGAAATAAATTTTATCACTAAATATTAGGTAAATATTAAAATGAATTATCATTGAAACACTGTAAATAAATTTTATCACTAAATGTTAGGTAAAGAATAAAATGCACTATCACTGTAACACTGCACAAATCTACATGTTTTTGTTCAGGGGCTAGATCGCAATGTGATATGGATGCCTGAGGTTTTACATTATTTACTTTATTGTTCACAGGGCTGTGGCCGGGATTTATAATAACAGCATGGGACCAGCTGGCCAAATCTACTATAGTAATTAATTATGACACTTCTGAGAACTAGCATTTCTCCAAACCACCCAAAGAAACAAATATCTTTAATATAATCAATTGTAAGCCAATGTACACAAAATTACAAAAATGCCATTTAGTGTAAAAACACACACGTAACAATCTAGCAAACACTTTCCATATAACTAGCTACCAAAAATTGCTTCAGGTTAATTTGGGGTTAGGGATGTAGCTCAGTGGTAGAGGTAGCACAAGGCCCTGAGTTCAATCCTCAGTATCAACCCTCCAAAATTTTTTAATTAATAGATATATTTTATATTCACTAAAGATATTTGTTTACCTGAGAGAAACTGCATTTGGCCCATAAATCTCTCTCACCGCAGATAAATCAGCTTCCAGCTGAGGATGCTTGTGCAGTTCCCCATCGTAGTTGACCTGGAAGGTGATTCACAAGTGACTTGTGGGCGGACACCACCAACATAACCAAAACACAGCAGTCAGCTGGACCTGTGCCCCTGGACAGTCTGCCAGGAATATGCTAAGCTTCATTTAAAAACCAAGGTAACTCAGTAGTATTTTCATTGAAGTCCCTGGGCTCACATATGGCTGGTATAAGTCTTTAGGTTTAAAAGTTAAAATTAGACAATTTTAACCATGAGAAAATGCAAGCATTAAAAGAAGTGAATCGGCAGGCAGATATCCTTACATTCTCTCTGCAAGAAATAGTTCCATACACAAAGCAAAACAGAACACATGAATAAATACTCTGCATTGTGTTGAGCATTATATTAATGAAGCAATCTTCCCAATACTAGAAAGTTACTCCTTATAGAGAAGAAACCTAACTTTAGTATGTCTGTATCTCAACTATCCTGCTCATGTGTAACTGACAAGTTACTGGTGTTTTTTTACTCTGGATAAATAAAATTACTTGCATTCTTTTATATAATAATTTTGGCATTAATGACCCTTTTATCATAGACTACTCCATTTTATTGCCTAAGTTATAAAAACATTTGATTGAGAGGATTCTATAAAAAACATATATCTATACTACCAAATTAAAATTTTAACATGACTCTGCAAAAAAACCTGATGAAATACTTCATCTCTGTGGTTGTCATATTTAATATATATTTAAACTTTGATACTTCTTGTATAACAATTTTCACAATGAATACAATGACACTGAATCCAAATAAAGTAATGAAGATAATTGAGCCCATTAAGTTTTAAATAACTATCTTCCACTTAAAACAGTCTGTACTGTTCTCAAAAATGTCATCATGTCAAACTCCTGAATGTGACATGCAAAAATCCAAAGCACGAAAAATGTTATCTGCAAAAATCTCACTAACGATTGAAGACAATTTCAAGATAAATAACTACAGTAAAAAGATTTCTAAAAATAATCTTAATGTCTGAGGATGCATAAAAAACTGAAAACAGAGAAGTTATACAGATTTCCTAGTTAATTACAGAACACTCCTCTACTCCTCTGTCCCGTAACTCTCAGGCACAGATCTTCTTGAGGACAATTGTGGCTATCTGAACGAACTTTGAGACTGGGAATTTGGAAGTCAAGTCTACTTACCTGTCCTCCATAATAGAATTCTTCCGAATCATTATCCCCTTCAGAATCTTCTTCCACTGTACTATTTTGTCTTGACTCCTAAAATAATAGAACAAGAAGACAATGTTAACTGTCAAGCTAGTTTGTTTTCTTTTGCAAATAAAGTAGCAAGCAAGAGGTTTTATAGCTGTTACGCAGATTTTATGCATAAAAAGTCCTTGGTGAAGTATAACCCCAAAACAAAAGATAGTAAGTGACAGTTTTATGGATTCATGTAGCTCGTTTCATTATTCAAATAAATTTCTTTTTTAAAGTTTTTGTTCACTGAAATTAGTAGTTATAATTTAATATTTGATGTATATTAAAAAGTACGCATAATCATTTATATCTTCAGCTTTACTCTGATAAAACATTTGGCAAACTCATACCAATTCAAATTTTATTAAAAAGTTCCTCTGCATTATTATCCAAGACTATTTAATTCCACTGCCAACTCAAAACAATAGTATAAAATAAAAGAAACTTTGAATGCACTAACATAAAAATCAAATTATGAAAATACAGATCATACTATGAAGAGAACTTCCAGTATATGTAAATTATTTGCTTTGGAATTCAGAATTTAGAAGCACATTTAATTTAATAAACTTTAAGTTTGAGTTTTTAATTAACTGAATCACATCTACTGTGTGTCAAAAGCACACATAATGAAAATTCATGGTGGTATTCCTGACAAACAATAAGAAGAAAAAAGTAGCTTTGTTTGGATGAAGGAATTTGCCCATTCAATGTTTTGCCACCATTCCTAAATACTAAACTCTTGAGGAAAACAAAACAGCCAAGAATAGGGACTCTGGACTTTATGGGAATTTTTTTTATTTGTTTGTTTGTTTTTGTTTTCAGTCAGTAAGAGTTCTGTCCACCCAGTGATTCTCACTGTGAACCAAACAGGGACAAGCCAGTAGCAGGAAGGGAGGAATATAACAAGTACACATCTTTCAGGGAAAGAGCGGCCGACCCATTGCACTCAGTGTGTTTAACATCCTAGTATTTATTCATGAATTCAAAATGAATTTTTCAAAAGAAAAGAGATGAATGTTTTTTCAGGCACCAAAAAATACCCACTTTCCGTGTACTTTGGCTAGAGATCATGTTTTACAAACAAAATATTAAGGGCGTCCCCTCAAAATTATGTATAGCCATTATAGTTATTAGTAATAAGGTACATAAGTATTTCACCAGTAACTCTAAAGCATATAGAATACGTTTGGCGTGTATTTTATTTAGATTTAAACCAAATGTTTGTTTCTATTATTTTAAAAGAAACTTCCTTCTTAAAACTAAATTTAGATCGTTCTCCTTAGTACTGCAAGAGTTCTAGTCATGAACTTAATTTTCATTGACTATATGCAACTAATCTGACTAACGGTAAGATGTTAACTACAAACACTTAGTAAATTTAAAATATATCTAAGCTGTTTTCAAAAAATAAGAAATATAACTTACATACCTCCCCATTTTCCTTTTGCAACTTGGATTTTATGGATAAGCAACAGTTGATGTCATTTGTTTTCCTTAATTCTGAAAAACATGTTGGAAAATTTTTTAGTTTTTACTAAGTTGTTTACCAAACGTTACTGAGTTTCCATATTAAAAAAAAACTTAGGTCATTCCTTTTATTTTGGAAGAAAGTTTAAGGGAAGCTTTCAAATTTTATGGTTGGGGAAAAAAACACAACATGCACACTATTTTCACTGTGCATAAAAATGATGATCCAACTAGAATACTAGTACACAGATTTATTCAATTCTCATTATATATTTCATGATAACTTCATTGCATGGATTTATGTAATGTTAAAGAGTGTCACCACGGGAGGGGGATTTTTTATAAGAGTAATTGTCAACATAATATAGTTAAGCAAAGTTTTTAAAAAGTACTATAACTTACTCATTTCAAAAATTATTTTTAAAAATTTTTGGGTTAAATGAAGAATCAGAGGTGTTGAAGGCAGATATTTGTAGTATAAACTAAAAAACAAAAACCAACAAACAAAAACCTTCAAAGCTACCTACAGTTAAGAAAAATTAACCTAAGATAAGAAAATATTGTGTTAGTATTACCTGTTGCTATTCTATGAAAAATTACTGGAATTGGTTCTGTTGTAACTAGTACATCTTCATCATTTTCTGAACTTGACACATATGTATTGTCTGCAATGAAATATAGATAATTAAAGGCATAGTTACCTCAAAAAGTACCACTTTCCTAAAAAATAATCAAGTCATATCCACGTCACTTTAAAGTACATAAAAGGCACACAGCTACCCTGAACTCAGAAGTAAATTGCACTGTGACATGTGGATTAAGTACAGACTGCCTGTACTTAATATCTGTGTACTTAATATCTGTGTACTTAATATCTGCCTGTACTGTATATCTGTGTCTTTGAGAAACATGAACTTTAGACAGAACCAAATCATCTCATTTCTAATATGCCATACACTCATGGATCATTCAAATGCCAGTTAGTTTCCTTGACTCACTGAACAGCGTGCTGTACTACAAAAAGCAGAATTAGTAATTGGAGGGAGAAAACTAAAGAATATTAGTATAATAAAAAACAAGACTCGCAGTCAGGTCATTCATGAACATGAACTAAAGATTCGGTTGACATCATACCCTTTATATTGTTCTGCTATCTGTTTCTAAATGATGTAAGGTCACACAATTATTATTCTTGCATACAATATCTACATGTACTACGTAAAATGAGTACAAAGCATTAAATCATCATTAATTTTACAAGTTTACCATTTCCTCATAAAGATCTGTAAGTATATGATAATCTAATATAATATCCTGGTTTCTTACTACGTTTTTGCCACTGATGATTGCAATGCATCTGTAAGACAGCTATTGAATGAAGAGTTCACTAATAATAATCCTATAATGCACCCACTTGTGACTTACTAGATAGTATAAATAAAACATCACAAAATAACAAAAGACAGGTATGGTGGTGCATGCCTGTAATCCCAGCACTTGGGAAGCTGAGGGAGGAGGATCACTGTGAGTTTGAGGCCAGCCTGGGCTACAAAGTGAGTTCAAAGCCAGCCTGAAATACATAGTGAAAGTCTGTCTCAAAAAGACCAAAAAAAAAAAAAAAAAAAACCAATGAAAACATGAACCGATTTCTACCAAGTAGCGAGATGACTGAATGAATGTGTGTCAGAATCTTTCTGAACCAATTTTCATAATATTGTGTCAGTACAGAGTGAACATGATTTTTAATTGATAGAAATCTAAGTCATTACTTTGCTCCTAAAAAAAAAAAAAACCCCTCATATTATTGTTCCCCTCGGAGAATAAGTGAAGGGTAGTGATAGGCGTGCACAGTTTAGCTGCAAGACTCTCAACAGACATGAAGCCTTAATAATTATTTGAGAAGGTGAGAAGGAGTAGGTGTCAATTATATACGAAACAAATCAAGTTTGCCACACTGTTCTGAGAAGTGTTAATCACAGATTTTGCTTTATTTCAGCTTTCAAATACTATTAAAGAAGTTATGAAATTTTCACGTTTATCAAGTGGGGTAACAGGATTAAGGAATAGACTTAATAGGAATTTATTGTACTTATTATTTCAGTGTATTGCTTGGGAGCCTGACAACTTATCAAGAGACTCTTCTGCCAGCAATCTCATGCTTTCAAGCCAAGTGTCAAAGCCTCTCCACAAGAGATTCCTGGTTCAAAGGCATTTGCTACTATGCATAAAAGATTCCATGAAGCAAATGTTAGGAAAAGATGATTAAGAAGTACATTAAGGCAATGGGAGGAAAAATTGAACAATGACTAGAAGGGAAGATCTGCAGCAGTCCCTAAAGTGGACAGCTGCATGTAGAGCTGTCACGGAACCCTGGAGATCTTATTTAAAAAACCTTAATAGGCAAGCAAAGCAGACAATACGCTTAAGACAATGGAATAACACAGTGAGTAGCTCAGCCTAAAGGATTTTTCTATCAAAGTGTCTTATGTGAAATAATAAACAAATTACTCTCCAATTCATTACAAAAGAAAAACACCACTTTCACTGCAAAATCCAGAAAGTTTAAACCACAAGGCAAATTACAGAACTCGAGAGGATATAATTTGGTGTGTACATATTGAATAATCCTAAAGATCAGAATTATACCTTTAAATATATTTTCTAAAACACATCAGTAGTGTAAGCCTGTTCTCCTAGCACTCTGGTAGGCTTAAAGCAAAAGGAGCAGAAATTCAAGGCCAGCCTGGGCAACTTAGTGAGATCCTGCTCAAAATAAAAATAAGTTACAAGAATTGCGATATACTCTGTCAAGGTCCTGGGTTCACTCTGAGATTTTCACCAGCTTGTATTTTGATTACTTTTTATGCATTATAGTTTTATTTTTGGTTTAATGAATGCCAAATCAAAATATTCGCAGGTCTCATGAACATTCTCTATTAAATTCCCATTGTGATGTAAGAAGCCAGACTGGATCACAGAGGGATATACAGTTTTGATCACAACGGCAGCCAAGCAAAGGACACATTCATTCTAGGTGTTCTTTCAGTTTCTTTTGAAACCATTCGAGAAAGACAGAGAATAGTTTTTCTTTTTTACTCAAAATTTTAACATGGTGATTTTTAAGAACAGCACATTACAATATAACTAAAACTGAAAAACAGAACCCAGTCACAATCATGCAAGAAAATAAGACAGTTGCCCTAGAACCATCCCAAAAAATAATACCAGCTTCAGACAGGTTCTAGCAAATGATCGAAATACAGTTTACCTCCTTCAGCCGCAGAAAGCCAAGATGCCAATGTTTACAGCAAAGCACAAGCTAAGTTTTATAGGTCGACATTAAGGTACCTCTGTAATTTGTCACTTAGTTGTTTAAGAGGAAAATATACATAACTCAATAGATGTCAAATAGGAATTTGATAATGATTTAATATTAGTAATGTTTTGTAAAGGTATGTGAGAAAAAAGAATAGTTTTTTTTCTGAAAGCAACCGAATGCTAAAAGCAAAGTATGCTAATTTTGAGAAAAGGAACGAAGCCAGCAGCCTTCATATCTATTATAAAAATTACTCCAGCCATTATAGCTAGTGTCAGGAGACAACAGAAGTATGCATATTGGGAAAGAAGAGCAAACATTTATGTATAAAGTTGTCTGTCTGAAAGGTCAGGCCTGGTAACTACACTTGGCACAAATAAATGTGGACTAAAATTTAGTAATGGCAAAAGTATTATATTTATGTTCACTCTGAAAAAAAGCCTACACAAAAGCACTAATACTATGCCTTCTACAGAAGCAAAGAATCTAGAACTAAATTCAAGGCCTTGTGGAGCTTCCCACAACATGTTCTTGGGAAACACGACTGCCCGTTTTCCTATCAGAGAAGCTGCCAAGTAGACTGAAATGAATTACACATATGGAAATACATGGAAAACTGGGCTCTCTACGGGGCACTGTGGTGCAGTAGATACAGCAACCAAGTCAAAACTGTGCCTCAGATTTTTAGCCTGGATCCCCTACTCTTCCATTTTGTGTTTTTGGAAATGAAACTGTCTTGGAAGCTCACTACATACTTATTTAAAGGAGGGAATTAAGTACACACACACACACACACACACACACACACACACACACACACACATAGAAGATAACCAATGCTTTATCTTAAAATTCAGTGTTTAAAAAATTTCCAAGTGAGAGTCTGAAGTGAGAAAAATCTTGAATAATATCTCTTGGCCACAAGAAGGAGGTAAACATGATGGCCACTCGGTTTCCCAGAGGCATCAACTCCCACATATCCAGTGCTACAGAACATGCTCTGTGACATCTTCAACTTGGGCTTTGATGAGTGGCATTGCCTCTAACATCTCCCTTTTGAGGTCTGCACCTCTGCTGACATCTCTACAAGATGCCTTGATCAGACACATAATAGATATACTATTTATAAAAAACAGGGTGTTCATTCTCCAAGCAAGATTAGTAAATATTCAACATCAAACACATACTTTCCAAGAACATGAGGGACACTGTCACTTTAAAAAAAGTAATTTTCCTTAGATATATTTCTTGTCTTGGTTCTTCCATAAAAACCTGCCTAGTACACTTCTTTATAAAACTATTAAGAATAAGCATGTACTTAATGGAAAGCAATTCCCATCAAGTCACTATAAAATAGTATTACAGAAATACATGGAGTGCATAGCACAATAATAAGGAAGTTTATGGTTTGTAAAATTATTTTAAAGTGTAAAATGATTAAATATTTAATGCAAAATGCCTGCATCAAATTATGAATTGATTAGTTTTTCAAAATAAACTCAAATATTTGTATACACACACACACAGAAATGACAGACTAAATTAATGAAGCCGCATTCCTTTTATGCAAGGCCAAATGATGCTTCAAAATTATGGGTCCGGTTCAAAAATTTGTTTAATTATAATGATAAAAGACAAAGATAGAGGTCAAAGCTATCATCTGGACAACTCCTCACTGGAAAATACTCTGGTTTTGGACTGCATCTTACAGTAGGATATGTACCTTGCAAGTAGCTGACAAGGTTCTTCCATATCTACAGCTGACAGATTTCTTCTGCCGATGCTTTTACAGTTTAATACATTTCTGTGTATTGTACATGACGAAAAGGAAAACATTCAAGAGTAATAACACAAATAGTTATAATAAAAAAATTGAAAATACTTGCAATAAAAAATTGAAAAATGCATACCTGGATAATCTTCAGATACATGTACTGAGTAGGATACACTGTTAAAAAGAAAAAAGGCTTAAGTTACTGTAACGAAAGTCATACTTTTACAAAAAAAATCCCATGGTACTCATTCATTTACATAGGTGTAACTATAAATGAATTAACATCCAGAACAGATTAGTAATTTGATACAGGAAACTTTAATATTTCAATGAATCTAAGTGGATCTTTCTAGAATAACTGTGAAATTTCTCAAAAGATACATTTTCATATTGATGGAACTTTTCATTTCAGCAATGATTAAAATGTCCTCTTCTGATCATTTATGTAATCAGATTTCCTCCCATTTAATACATTACTCAAAAAAGAGTTTTATTTTATGCATTAACACTGGCCTTGAACTCTCTGTGTAGCCCAGGCTGGCTTAGAACTCATAGCAATCCTCCTGCCTCACCCTCTCCAGGGCTGGCATTACAGGCATGTGCCACCACGTCTGGCTTACTCAGGTTAAAGACTGAGCCAGGCTTGGTAGCGCATGCCTATAACCCAGCACTCAGGAGGCTGAGACAAAAGGATTGTCATAAGCTTGAGGCCATCCTCAGTTACATAGCAAGTTCAAAGCCAGCCTGGATGACATAGCAAGACACTGCTCAAAAAAGCAAGCAAGCAAGCAACACAAAGGCTAAACATTCATTTTTAATATTCTATACTGCTTCCCCTTTTAAAAACTGTCCGTAATTAAAGTACAAAATGACCCATGTGCAACAGATATTCGTCATCAATCTTTCATCACAAATAAACTACCATCAATTCTCAAAAGGAATGAATTGTTTCAAGAACAATTTTTAAATGGCATTTCAATAATTCTAACACTCCTTTCTTAGTAACGCCACTGTTTTTATAAACTTCTCATATGACATGCAGGAGTTTTTCTCACTTATCTACTATTAGCTAGGTTGCCATCTCTTGAAGGCAGGGTCTACGTCTAAGTCTTTTGTAGCACAGTCACCTATTTTACAGCATGACCTGCAGCACATACTCAATAGTTACGTGAACACATCGGTGGAGCAGCTACCAGCCACAGAAAAGTCAAAAAAACACTTTGAGTTCAGCAAAATTATCTGCGTATTGAGATACAGCAATTGATTTTTTGAAGGAACAGGCAGTAGTTTGTATTAAGTATCTTTCAAAAGGGAATCCAACACAATTCAAAAATTGCACAATATATGCACATATGGGAAAATGTAATCTACAAAGAGAAGAGATAGTTAAGTGTTAGAATTCACTTACGGTGACGTTAAAACATTTAAGCAAACATAAAGATGTAAAGGAGAACCCAACCTAAAGAGAATAACAAACACAGAGCATCAAGGATTTGTAGGGCACCAGCACAGAGCAAACATGTATATAGTTGTTTGAAAAGGCCAAAGAGAAAAATGTATTTAAAAAAAAAAACAGGACATAAGAGAGAATTTCCCAATTCAAGTGAAGATCGATGAGTCTCAGAAAACCCCAGAGTAAACAGTAAAAATTATAATTGCTTCAAAGGAAGCTGGTGGAGGCACATTACTTTCAAGGAAATGGTGACAAGAACCAATGTTGTCAAAGGTGGCAGGAGAGAGAAAATTGTCAACCTAGACCCTTGTATTCCACCCATATCGGAAATGAAGACAAAATAAATTTTCAGATAAGGAAAGGTTGTTAAAACTTGTCTGCAGTAGATCTGTCATTTTCTAACCTAAACAGAGTTTACCTGGCTGAATGATAGCAGATGGAAACACAAATATACAAAAGAAATGAAGTACACCACTAACTATACATACATAAAAATCTATTTTCCTATAAGGGCTTTAAAAATATGTAATGACTGTGGGACACAGAACATACACAAACATTACACATGAGCTTTGTAGAATAAAGATGACAAGTGAAATGACCATATACAATCACAAGGTCCTTATACATCATGCCAGCTGGTATATTAACCCCAAATATGGTAACAACTCCAAGTGAAGGCCATATAACGTAATTCCCAGAGCAAAGACCAGCATGCATGCACATAAATGGCTGAAAAAGTCAATGCAGAAGCTGAAATGGATTTAGATATATATAGCCCAAAAGAAAGGAGCTGAAGAAAAAAACAGAAAGGGCAAAGAGAAAACCAATAGTAAATGAAGCCTGAACCTATCCATACTCAATACCGGCATTAAATGTTAATGAAACAGACATTGAATAAAAGGAGAAAAGAGGGAAAAAAGGGAAAAAGGAAGATCCAGTTCTCTGCTGTTTTTTGTATTTCTATTTTTATTTTATTTTTGGTACCAAGGATCAAACTCACAACCTTGCGCTTACCAGGCAAGCGCTTATGCCACTGAACTAACTCCCTGGTCTTTTCCACTGTTTTTTAAGAGACACACATACAATATAAAGACACAGATAGGAAGTAAAGCATGAAAAGGGTCCACCACGCAAATGGCCAAAGAAGATAAAAGAAAAACATACAAAGGGATCATCATTCAGAATGACCTTAGATTGGTTCATCACAAAGAAAGCAGCACGATCATGAATCTGTGTGCACACTAATAATAGTGCTGCAAAATATATGAAGGTAATTGTTCAATTATTAGTTCAAGAAGGACTTTTGATAGCATACAATAAGTCAAACATTGTGTTCATGTCAAATACTAAATATTTAAGTAGAAACAGAAGAGAAAAGCTGGATGTTCGTGACTAATTCAGACAGAAATGAAATATGAAACCTGATGAATATGATGGACAAAGGAATTTGAACATACATGTTAAGCACATGCCATTTTTTTAACTTTTTAATACGTAAATAATATAGATTCTCAGGAAGTTGCAACGTATAATAGTATCTTTCACTGAGTTTCCTCCAATGCTTAAACACTGTATACCTGCAGCAGAATATCAAAGACAGGAAAATGACATCAGTGTAAAGTTGGTGTGGCTTTATGTCATCTTGATACATGTACTATATACACACAACCACAAGTTATGATACAGAACTACTGACTGAAAGATTCCCCTCATGCTTTTAGAGACATGCTTATCTTTCAGCCTAACATTCCTAACACCAGGTAGCCATTAATCATTTACTATCTCTATAATTTTATTATCACAACAGTATCATACAGGGATACAGTATTAACCAGCTCTGTAATTTTATTATCACAACAGGATCATACAGGGATAACTATATTCAAAGTCAGGGGGAGTATTTTGAGAGGAATTAATGGCAGTGTTCTTTTATTATAAATGTTTGAAAATTAAAAACTCCAATATTTAAGGCACAACTCGTATTTTCAAAAAAATTACTCTAGTAGGTGACATTTAGAATCAAAAAAAGAAAAGATCAGATTCAGAAGGTATCATAGCAGTAAAATACATGCAAGCAACTATCAGTGGGAAAGTACCTAATAGGTGCAAAATGGCAGGAACAAATGGCAGATGTTGGACCCTAACCAAGACCCTAGCTTTGGGAATCAGGGCCCCAAATCAAATAACATGAATGAAAGATGAAACACCCTCACCAGTGGCGCCTCGGCCAAGCCAGGGGAAAAATACACTGTGACCCGATATGTATTTTCCCATGATTTTCTCACTTATAAGCAGAACTGTACTATGTAAGCCAAGGATCTAGACTGTCAGGCACCCTTCTGATCTGGCAGAGCTGTGTGACAGAAGCCTGGCATTTGGCCCGAGATTATGCTCAGCGCTAAGCTGAATTCACCCCCAACAGCCTTCCATCTCAACAGCAGTTGGCTTCATTTTTCATTCAACTCAGTGTCTAAATACAAAATGAAGATTTAATTCATTCCTTTGTCTACCTCCACCACGCGAGGTTGTTAGGAGTGCTGAGTAAAATAAACAGCAATCAAACTCTACCTTTGAGGTTTATCAGATCTGTGGCCCAGGGAAAGTTACACACACTTGCTTCAATCGTTCTTCAGCCCATCAGGAAAATGGAAGAATCCCTACCTTCACTGATGAGCCTGCTGCAATGGCTTTAATGGCTTTCCAGGTGTGAGGACCCCAGGACACTCACAGACCCAGAGCAGCAGGTGCTCAGAAATTTTAGTCAGCCCCAGTATAAGCAAGTAAAACAGAAGTCAAATTCTGTGTGAACGAATATTCTTTGGCGTAATCAATTTCCTAAAAAAAATACAAGATATCACATTACCGGGGCTGGGAATTTAGCTCAGCGGCATAAGCGCCTGCTTTGCAAGCAGGCAGTCGTGAGTTCGATCCCTGGTACCGATAAAAATGAAAAAGACAAAAAAAAAAAAAAATAGATATCACATTACCTGTGACCTAACCTAACACTTATGATTTCATTTTATGGTTGTTATCACGCTCATGATAAGGGGAGACATTCCTCTGTGCATGACCATACCTGATGTTTCAAAAACAAAACAGAAAACAAAAGCTCTGCACAGTGATTCATCAGCTTCTAGTGCTACAGCCTTTTCCTGGTAGAGCACCAGGGAGAAAACCACCAGGACTGTAAAATCCTCATCAGTTTCACTTTGTGGCTTACAGAGCTCTAAGGGAAGCAGCCTAGTGCAAGCAGACATGGATGATTACACTAGAGGATCTCATAGGTAAGACCAAAAAAGGGGGGGGGGGGAGGAGATGTACAAAGAGCAAAGCATAAGTAGTTTGAAAAGATTAGTATTGTTATATACAATAAGCACTATAAGGCAGTGAAAACACAGTGAACCTGAGAAGAAAGCAACTTCTGAAGTTCTTGTTAGGGGAAAGGAGTCTGCAATGTTCTGGAAGACTGCACACGATAAGTACATTAGGGAGCTTTGTCAAGAACTCAGGTCAGACAATAAGTGTTCTGTATATATTTATTTGCGTAGCAAATAAGGAAGTGCTAGGGCTTCTTTTAAAAACCCACAGTCTGAAACTGGAATCCATAAATTATTTCTCTGCCCTCCTTAATTTTCAAACCAAGGGTTACTTTCTCTTCTCATTCCTCTGACAACACCTGGCTCAACGCAAGCCCTCCTCTGGAGTTCACAGGTGCAGG